AGTAGATTTTTCATACCCTTGGCTACCACCTAAATGCTCAACATGTGGAAAATGGGGCACCTCTCGTCAGTGTGTCTAGTGCAAGTACGCCAGGAACAGAGTATAGAACAAAGCACTATTCCAACTGCAGAACAGGGAGTTGAACAAGAACAAAGTGATGGAAAAGATTTATCAATTGAGGCTGAGAAGAAAAGCCCGACAGAACGATCAGACACCCCTTCAGTAGAGCAAATTGATACTCAGGGAGACGAAAACAAGGAGGGTGAATGGATTTCCCCAGTACCCCGGGGAAAACAGCTCGAACCCCTGAAAAGAGCAACCCTCTAGAATATGGCCAAGTTTCTATCCTCTCAACTTCACGTTTCGCATTTCTAAGTGAGAATGAGAAAGACAAGTTGGATTTTGATGTAGATGATGAAGTTCCCGACACAGCGGTTCCAGAAACACCCAGCGATGACGCCATCTCTCATGAGGTTGAAGTAGAGAAAACAGAAACTGTAGGAAAAGATATAGTGACATACCCACAAAAGATCTCTGAAAAACAACAGAAGGCAGTGGGATTTCAACCACGAGAAACACTGCAACGAAACTCCAAGGATAACTATAAATATCTCTCGGACCCTGCAACTCAAAAAGCTAAAGATAGGCATTCTAGCGTTTTGAACAGACGGTCCAAAAGGAAACCCACTTAATGTCAAGTTTCTTCTAGAATGTCCGGGATTGGATAAAGAAAAGTTTGTTTCAATTTGTATGCCTCTTGGAGACGCGAATCAAAGAGAGGAAAGCTTCTGAAATTATTTCTTCAGTTTTTCAAGGGTGGTCATATATATCAAACTATGAACATAATAGGAGAGGCAGGATTTCGGTGGTATGGGGTCCGAGAGTGCATATTACCCCATTTTTCAGCAGCGAACAAATGATTACATGCTCAGTTCTGCTGGACGGTTCAGAGAATGAGTTTTTCTGTTCATTTGTTTATGCTTTAAATACAGTAGAGGAGAGAAAAGAACTCTGGTGTGACTTAAAATATCACCAAGATTCACCTCTGCTCTGGAATAAACCATGGATAATTCTTGGCGATTTTAACGAGATTCTACAAGAGGAAAAGCATTTAAACTATCAGGTGTCACCGACAATTCCCATGGGAATGCGTGATTTCCAAAACGCTGTTAGTTATTGTGCTTTGGCTGATATGAAAACACATGGTCTATTATACACTTGATGCAATAAACAAGATGAAGGGATCATATGTAAAAAGCTGGACAGGGTTCTCATGAATAACCACTAGCTACTTACTTACCCTCAATCATATTGATTCTTCAAAGCTGGAGGTTATTCTGGTCATCAACGTTGTCGACTTCAAATTGCAGAACCAAAAAGGCTTAAATCAAGAAGACCATTTAAGTTTACAAACGCTTTGGTGCAGGCAAAAGGTTTTCAGCCATTGATTCATAACTTCTGGGACACAACAGATCCTCTATTCCATTCCACATCAGCTTTGCATAGATTATCCAAGAAGTTAAAGAGTTTAAAACCAGGTCTTCGAGGTTTAAGTAAGGATCCATTCACTGATTTGTCGAAGAGGACAAAGATGGAATATGAGGAGCTATGCGAATGCCAGACAAAAAATTTACTCAACCCGACTCAGAGCTTGATGGCGATGGAGTCACAGATTTTTGATAAGTGGCAACGTCTCTTGGATTTGGAGGAGAAGTACCTTAGCCAACTATCAAAGTTGCATTGGCTGCAGGTTGGAGATGGAAATAATAGATCTTTTCACCAGGCTGCAAAGGTCAGAAAGTTAATAAATACTATACATGAAATTAAAAAGGAGGATGGCACAATTGTTGATACTCAGGAGGAAATAAGGCAAGTGTCTGCAGGATTTTTCAATGAATTTCTGTCACGGTCAGTAGAAAGTTATCAAGGATTCTCAGTTGCGGAACTACACCAACTTCTGGATTTTGAATGTGATGAGATGGACAGTGAACTTTTGCAGAAAACAATTACAGGAGAGGAGATAAGAGACATACTCTTTGTAATGCCAGGAAATAAATTACCAGAGTCTGATGAATACACTATGGAGTTCTTCAAAGCAGCATAGTCAGTGGTTGGTAACGATTTTGTTATTGCAGTACAATCTTTCTTTAAGAAGGGGTTTCTGCCGAAAGGATTGAATACAACAATTTTAGCTCTCATCCCAAAGACTAAAACAGCGACTGAAATGAGGGATTATCGCCCGATTTCCTGTTATAATGTCCTCTACAAGGTGATGTCGAAGATATTGGCCAACAGACTCAAACGACTGTTGCCAAAGTTTGTTGAACCGAATTAAATTGCATTTGTAAAAGTGCGGTTACTCATGGAAAACGTCCTTCTGGCGTCAGAACTGGTTAAAAATTATCATAAGGAATTAATCTCGCCAAGGTGTGCAGCGAAGATAGACATCTCAAAGGCATTCAATTCAGTCCAATGGAGCTTTATAATTAACACCCTCACAGCTGTGAAGTTTCCAGGAAAATTTTTTCACTGGATACAATTATGTGTCACTACTGCCACCTTTTCAGTCCAAGTTAACGGAGAGCTTGCAAGTTTCTTTATAAGTCAGAGAGGTTTGCGCCAAGGCTGCTTGCTCTCTCCTTATTTATTTGTGATCTGTATGCACGTCCTATCTAGGATGTTAAACAAGGCAGCAAAGGACAGATTAATAGGCTACCATCTTTCTTGCCAGAATCTAAAACTCACACATTTGTGTTTTGCGGATGACTTGCTGGTTTTTGCAGATGAGAAGAAACACTCGATTGAAGGCATCCTTGCAGTATTTCAAATATTCGCAGAGATATCCGGGTTGAGTATCAGTCTAGAAAAATTAAGTATGTTCCTTGCTGGGGTCAAAGATGCGGAGAGTGCCGAGATACTGGATCAGTTTCCATTTGATTCAGGGGCCCTCCCAATGAGATATTTGGGACTCCCGCTATTGACAAAAAAGATGACTTGTCATGACTATGCCCCGTTAATTGAAAATTTGAGAAGCCGCATCGGAACATGGACGGCATGATCCCTCTCTTTTGCAGGTCGACTCCAATTGATAGCGTCAGTGATTCACATTCTCACCAATTTCTGGATCTCTGCTCAAGCGTGCATCAATGAGATCGATAAATTATGCTCTGCCTTCTTGTGGTCTGGTCCAAAATTAAATAACAAGAAAGCAAAAGTTACTTGGAAAGATGTATGTCTGCCTAAAAAAGAAGGAGGTTTGGGGTTTACAATCATTATAGGAGGCGAATAAAGTCAGATGTCTTAAGCTAATATGACGAATCCTTTCAGCAAAGTCTTCCCTATGGGTGAATTGGATCAGAATGTTTCTCATCAGAAAAGATTCCTTCTGGACAGTAAAGGAAAATACAACACTTGGCTCCTGGATGTGAAAAAAACTCCTCAAATACAGAGAGCTTGCGAGTTCTTTTGTCAAAGTGGAGGTTTGTAATGGCTTATCGACCTCTTTCTGGCATGTCAAATGGAGTAGTATGGGTATATTGCAGGCTCTAACAGGCCCGCGAGGCTATATAAATATAGGAATACCCATTAACACAATGGTAGCAACGGTATTGGCTTCACATCGGAAAAGATGGCACAGAGTCAGTATTCTGAATGAGATCGAGACTGTTATCGAAGCACAACGGCAGAAAAGAGAGACTCATGGGGATAATGTTGTATTGTGGAAAAGCAAACCTGATCATTTCAAAACCACATTCAATTTAAGAGACACATGGAAGCTTTTTCGAGAAATGCACCCAAGCAGAGAATGGTACAAAGGAGTGTGGTTCACACACACAACACCCAAGTACTCGTTTCTGACTTGGCTTGCAACCCTCAATCGATTATCAACAGGCGATAGGATGGCCAGATGGAACACGGGAGCTAATTTTTCATGCGTCTTCTGTCAGGCTCCAAACGAGACCCGAAATCACCTTTTCTTTGACTGCAGCTGGTCTGCAGTGGTCTGGAACATGCTCACGAGCACAATCCTTGGCTCGAGCTATTCAACGCAATGGGAGATTATTCTTGTGTTGTTGATCGATGAAACTCAGAATACGATTCCCTTTTTCCTTCTTCGATAGGCGAAGGTATGGAGAGACTCCTACTTCTTCATCGCAGATAGCAAGACTGATCGACAAACAAGTCCACAACCGGCTAAGCACAATACGAAAGCTGGGTGATACTCGTTTTGAAAAGGGTTTGAAAACTTGGTTCTTAACACATTGACGATTTAAGTTAATCATTACCTAATATTTTCAAAAACAGAATAACATAAGTTGTAAGGACTTTTTTTTTTATCTGAATTAATTTTACATTCATTCAAAAAAAAAATTAAAAAACATATTAAATGCAGATTAATAACAGATTAATTTATTATACAACTGATAATATATTAAATATAAATTAATGGTAGATTAAAAATAAACTAATTCAAACTGAAAACTTAAAATTGTCAAATGAACCATTTAAACAAATAATTTTAAATTATATATCAAATTGAAGTTTTTGTGACAAAAAGTTTAAATATATTCTTATAATTTAGAAACTAATCTATGCAATGGTAAGAACTTTTAAAAAATATATTGGAAGGTTTATATTGCTAGTTAGATTCGACTTTATAAGTTTAATCTGTCATTTCAGAATTTTTTTTTTTTTGTCGAAAGACTTTTACATATAGTCATATGTTTTAATTTTTGGTTTATATCCGTAAATTAGATCATATGATCATCAGTAGTGAAAGGTTTCTCACCAAATTTCTCATATTAAAAAAAAATTAATAAAACTGAATAAAGAGAAGAGAAAAAATAAAATAAAAAATCTTTCATTTGAAAGATTATGAAAGAGTTATGAAAGACTCATTTCATATATTATTTTTATATTTTTAGTTTAATTTTCTTAAATTTAAAACAAATAATTTAATTTAATAATATTAAAATTAATATTATTAAATTGGTTAAAGACTCGTATTTTACCACTGCTGATGTTCTTAGAAAATTCGTCAATTCATGATCTATCTTGATAAACACGCTCAAGGAAACGAACATATATTAATGTATGTATAACATAATAAACTTTATATTGTTGTTAAGTAACAACTGATATACAGTAGTTTAGTGATTCCGTTTATTTTAAACTCCTGTAGTTTTTGTTTTTCTTTGCATAAGTTACTATTTGATGAACTTAGATTTGGATAATTGCGTCTTCAAATTTCTTCTACTCTTAACTCTTTCATCTATGTTTCTCTTGCTGAGTAGCTTTCAGCAGAATCATGTTCACTGCAAAATCCAAGACCACAAGTATATACATCAACTGTTGCTTTTTCTGTAATCAAAAGTTTATTAGTTCGGTATCGCATTCATTGAGGGTATCGCATTCATTGAGAAGCCCCAAGCCAATTAAAAACAACCAGGTATTAAATTGAACACCTTCAAGAAACAAGTCCTAGATATCATCATTAGTGCATCTGAATCTACAACGTGTGCAAAAACAAAAAAGTTCTAAACTACCTGGAGCTAGTGTTGAGGTCAAACCCTCTATGATTGATAAAGCGCTCCTTCTCCTGCATTTGGTGCGAATGCAAGACGAATAACACATCTTAGTATCGCATCAAACTGTTTTATTTCAGGTAATACCAATTAAACTGTAAGATGATTTACCTGCTCAATCATTTGCACACACAAAAAAAACAGAAAAATTACCTGCTCAATCTGGTTCATATCGATTGGAACATTCATGTCTGGCAACATCATTTTAGTAGGAGGCAACACTTTCTCAGGTTCTTCATGTTCTAGCACATCCTGAACAGAACAATTTTGCACATAAATGACGTGAATAATGCATATAATGCATTTTATTAATTACCTGGAAGATTTGGACCAAAAATCAGAAAGACTTGGCACCAGAGCATGTGATATTAGTCTCGTCCCAAGCATTGTTTAGTGAAACATGAACAAAATTTTGGTTGAAAAAAATGTGAATTTCACCCCGGGTAAGACTGCAAAGGAAAAGAAAGCTAACCTGATGAATGGCACAGTGAGGTCCAAAAGGAACAAGATCGATCAAGAAACCATAAGTTTCTGAATTCTTTACGGCCACAAAGACATCACAACGCCGGATGGTCTGACGAGTGCATGATTGAGTATGCATCCAAGCTCGTAATGTAAGCTCTAGAATAAAATATTCGCAAGCTTTGGAAAACAAAACAGGAGCGTCCTTGCTGATCATCTGAATATTCACATCTATCTCAGTCATTAGAATATTTGTTAACCAAAGCTCAAAAAAATTTTGGTAAGAAACAATTTCCATAATTTTCAACACCTTGACTTGAGGATCGGATTTCAAAATCTTTTTGACTCTGGATAGTGGCAAATGATTGTAGTTATTGAAACCTGTTAGTCACCAAAACATTTTAAGGTGTCCAATAGTCGAAAATCGGGAGTTAAAATATCCGAATGACGATATAGTTTCTTTGATTTAAGTTCTTTAAACAGCTCTGAATATTAGTCACCTGTAAAGTTTTCTAGCTGCTCCATTTGACTCTCCCAAAACACCGTCAGAACTGCTTCCAATGAAGAGAGCCCCTCGATCTGTCCATCAAAATGCGGTCAAGTGTTAAGACCAAAAGGTTAAAAGACAACAGACATCAAAAGCCTTTAAGGGAACAACAGAGAACAGGGTCTGAATGAGCTTACATTTCTCCTTGCTGGATGGTAAGGCATTCGCATCATGTTATGCGAATAGGGCGCAACAGGTTCGATCCTGATGCGAGATGCTTTGAGAGATCCATTGGGGAACAGGAACGAGTTTGACACTATTGGCCTCTTCATGTTATATTTCACAAGAGATGATGAAAAGTAGGCGAAGATGTTGAGGATGAATGAAGAGAGCAAGGGTCTATATAGTAAGGTAGAGTCATAACGTAACGATTATCATTTAAGACACTACCAATGAGAGAGAGATTCTTTTTAAAGTGGAAGAGAACCTTTTTGGCACAAAGATGAAAACATTGAATGCTGAAACTTCACAAGGAATATGCCTTGTGGAGTTCGTGAATCGCGAGGTATGCATAAGAAAGAACCATTCGCAGATCTTCTCTGTGAAAGCCACGCGCGGTGTACAAGAATCATGACAACCAATAGCATACTGTATATTATCATACAACTTGTATAAGTTGCACCTCAATCTATAGTAAGAGCACATTGTTTAAATGTAATTTCAAGAACTCAAAGATATCACCAATGGTGCTTGAAAACAATGAAAAGGCAAAAAGCTCTTTGTAAGGTAGTTATTTCATGTTTGATTGTATAACATGCCAAATTGTACTACAAAGTCAGAATTCACTAGTTCCTAAGTGATAGTTAATTTCTTAAAGTTCTACCACAAAAAGGCAGAGGAGCTCCTCCCCTTACTCTTTTCTTCTTACATCTTTGAAAATTATTTTTCTTTGTGAATTTGAACATAACGAGGCAAATCGTTCTAGTCATTAATCTAAGTTCACCGGTATATGTGTCACACATGCAAACCTCTGCTAAACACAGAGAAAATGCGTAAAACATGGAATATATCAAACTCAATGAGCTCTCATTCTGGTAGCTCCCAACTTCCACGAATGATACAACCTCATGTCCATGGTCAAAACTCAACTAAAAGAAAACATACAAACTTCAAACTTCAAAATCTGGCATTCAAGAGCATCACAAGTAACATGCTAGAATCTCATTACCCATACATGGAAAGATAAATTTGTTCAGATCCTTAAGTAGAGTTGTTTCTTCTCTTTAAGAAATAAGAATCAAACATCAATTAATCTTCAGCTACTAAATAGCCAAAAAAATTTGATAGATTTTCACACTTGTGAGCTGGTTTGATATTAAAACCTTTTCTACCCAGCAGATCACAACCGCGAAAAATATCTTAGACCACATAAATCATGTAATTATGCTCACACATATGTCAATTAAGCGCCACAAATGCGCGCATAACACTAGTTGATCTAAATGCTAGTTCTCGTTGGTGTACATTTTTCATAGTAGTTACTAGTTACACTAAAGCTCTAACTAATGATCAAATGAACGAGGAGAAATAGTTTAACATTTCAAATTATTTTTTAAATAGTTTACCATTTATTAGTAATTTTATTTTTCATATTTACATTCTTCTCTTTGTTTTTTTAAATTATTTACCATTTATTAGTAATTTTTTTATCATTCATTTCCATTCCTTATTCTAAAAAGAATAATAGAATAAATGCTCATTTGTTTAAATAGTTTGTTTGGCAGTTTTAATGTAAAAATGAGATCTTTCATAGGGAAAATTGCAAGAGAAATCTATTAGTTTACATTCATTTATATTTTTTTATTTTTTTATTTTTTCCTTTTTATTTCTATTGTTTTTCTAATGGTTACAATTAAATATAAAATAGAATTTAGAAAGGAAAAAAAAGGAGCTTTAGAGACCTTCTGACCAAATGGAGTTCATGTTGACGGATGAAAAAAAACAAAAGGAAAAAGAGCAAGAAGAATCACTCGCATCGGGCAGCACATCAGTATGAAGACCTCGAGAATCCAAAGAGTTGTACAGGACACCTGCATCGGCATGAAGACCTCGGAGCCAAATGCCCCGAGAATTCAAAGATTCACACCCGGCACCTGCGGCGGCTTCTACACCCCGGAGCCAGTCCACCTGAAGTTCTAATAACCCATACTGGGCACTCGCTCCGGCTTCTACTCCTTGGTGCAGCCCTGGTGTCCTCCTTCCTTTTTGGATTTTCTCTGGTTTGGTTTTTGGTTAACATCCGAGATTTGGCCATTGACCAGCCTTAATCTTGTGACTATTTAAATAAACCTTATCAACAATTAATTGTATCTTCTGTTATCTTATCTTTTATGCTTTTGAAAATCTAAACATTCTCTCTCTCTCTCTTGTTCTTAAGTTTTTTACCTAGAAATCTTAGCGTTTGTAAACAATATTTTGAGTTTCAATTAAGATTTTTCATTTTCTACTTTTGATCACCCTTCTACTGCTTTTAATTATGTCTTATGTTATTGAATCTATGAATTTCGCTAGGTTATCTATGTGTTCTGCGTAGTTCTCCTAGGGTTCTTAGGATGGGTTAGATCTATGCTGATTTAGTGGTTGATCCTTGATGTTTAATGCTTCATAGTGATTGATCCTTTCCTTCTTGATGTTTTTAATGCTTGATCCTTGCAAATCACTTAGATTTTAAACCTAAGCTTTCACTGCACCAAAATTGTTTGATGAAATGTCTGAACTAATCATTTAGGATATTTATTTACATTACATATGAGAATGGATGACTAGGGAGTATTATGGCTTGATAGAACTGTTGTTTAATGCTTGTTAATTGCTTGATCACTAATGAGAATTAGCTTTGGTTAAGTTGTTAGTAAAGGGATCTTTGTCAAAAGATTGAATTGATCTACCTGTTTAGTGTTCTATGCTGAAGGATTAGCCTTACTGGTTGAATATGCACATTAATGATTGACCGCTGTTTCATCATAGGATCAATAACCCCATCCTAAGATATTTGTTTGTCTAATTTCGATTTTTCTCTGTTTTTACTTTGTTCTTAAGTTTGAATTTTGCCTAGTTACTTGCCTTGGACTCTAGTTCAATGTTTTCTTTCACTGGTTGATTGATCACTTATAGTGTTAGAATTTTAAACAACCTCTTTTACTTGGCTTAACTTGCATTCATTGACGTATTATCATTGATTCACATCCATAATTGGATTGATACCTTAAGTGCTACACGGATATGATCACAGGACTTGAGGAATTGAGTTACAAGAATGTAAAAACTCTCATAACAAATATCACAGTAGAGTTACTTGTATTATAAAATACAATACATCGTTAGTGATAGATTTATTTTAAAAATAATTCTTTAAAACAGAATGGTAGTATATTTTTTTGTAAATGATAACAAACTTTTTTTTGTAAGACCTTTCAATTGTATTACCTTTTAAGATACTAAAATCTAAATTATAGTTCTATGTTTTGTTTGAAAATAAATAAAACTCATTAATTTCTATGATCATAATCTTTAATCATTATGGTTTGTAAATTTATTATTAATGATGGTAGATTTGTCACTTATTTCCGCGAGAAAAATCATGTGCAATCAATTTAGAAAGAATTAATAAATCTACCATATTAGACATAAAACTCTACTACAATATGCAGCAATAAATCTACTAATTAAAAATTATTTGACTAATTACAAAAGATTGTATATATCTACTACAATTATTGGTAAATCTATCAATGTTTAACAAATCTACCAACACAATGAATAAATCTATAGTTATTTCTCCAAAAAACCTACATACAATTTTTCATCAATAATTCTACTGTCATTAATAATAATTATACTGTCATTAATAAATACTATGAAACACTTTTTTCTCTCTTCTCTCTCCTGCGATTCGTACTGTTGACCTAGCTTTTCGCCGCCCTCATGGCTGGAGACACCTTGCTTCGGCCTCCTTCCGAGCCACCTAATCCTGCCTCTGATGAGTTCCCTCATCTATCTTCTCCAGTTTCACCTCCAATTAGGCTTCAGTTTGGTTCTACTCAACCTATTTCAGTTTGAGTTTTAGCGTCTCCGGCTGCAAAAAGTTCTCAGTCTTCTGTTCTTCACGAATAGGTTGCTTATGTCTCCTCTCTGGATTGTGTCACCCAGCGATGTGCTAGTCCAAAGAGTTCTCTTCAGGCTTTGTCTAGCTCTGAAGATGCTACTATGCAAGATGCTCCTGAAGCCTCTGCAGATTTTCCTCCTACCTCAGCTTATATTGATCCTCTTGTTGAATTCTCAACACTTTTGCTAACTCTTATTTAAATCCGAAGGAAAAAAACACATGTGTTGGTTGCTCCCACTACTGATGTCACTATGCAGGATGTTGTCAAAGCCTCAGCAGATTTTCCCCTCTCTAATGTTTCAGCGGCTCCCCCACGTGCTGTTGATTCCTCTGGAGTTGCAGATTCTTCAAAGTCTTGAGAACCTAGTGCAACGACTCATCTAGGTTCTCCTATGAATAGTGGTTCAGCTGATCCTTCTATCCTGAAATCATCTCAGGCTGAGACTTCTAGCTGGGCTGCAAGGATGCAAGCTTCTCTAGACAAAAAATTGAAGAAATTCTCAAACCCTAGTCTTTCTCCTGATGGTATCCCCAGAGTAAAAATCCTAGTTTCAGTTTTCCAACGAGGAGCTGATCTCCATCAAGATTTCATTTTGGGAATATTCATGGGCAAGACTCCCTCATTTGGCCATATCCAGAGTGTTCTCACTCACATATGGGGAAAAGGCATGAAACTTGAAATTCCTCTCCGTCCTGAATCAAGATCTATATTAGTATGTATTCTGAATGCTTCTTTCGAGCAAAAATCGTGGAACAAGAGATTTGGCACATTGGAAACTCTTTGTTCTAAGTTGCACAGTGGTCTACTTCTTTGGCCATGAAACCACCGTCCTTCCAGTCTATCCCTCTTTGGGCTCATGTGTGAGGCATCCCATTTGACTTTTACACACAAGAAGGGCTAGGAAGAGTCGCTGACGCCCTAGGTTTACTTGTGGAATGTGATGAGTTCACTAGAAGAATGGTAAACATTAATGTTGCTCACTTAAAAATCAAAGCTGACTGCACCAAAACCTTACCTACTTACGCAGATACTGAAAGAGACAATGGTGATATTGTCCCACTCTATGTTGATTACCCCTGGAAGCCTCCTACTTGCCCCTGTTGCAAAGAAATGGGCCACCTTGAATCTATCTGCCCTACTGGCTCCTGGAAAGCAAAAGATCATGTTGTCGCTTCCCCCTCCTCGAGTCCTGCCACTGTTGCTGCTAACACTAGGGCTGTCCCCTCTCTTGCTAACCTTTCTATTCAGGCTCCAAGGGCTCCTGCATTAGCTTCTCCGACTGTTGCTGCTTCAGCCTCTGTTTCTCATACCTTTTTTACTAAGGCTTCAATGGCTTCTGAATGTTTAGCTCCATCTGTGATTACAAACTTTGTTGATGTGTCTGAATCTCCTTCTGCTACGTCAACAGTATCTGAAACCATTTCGGCTTTGGGAGACCCGCTAACTGCGCCTAGTTCAGAATGCCTCTCCGAGTATGAACAACCGCCTCCTACGGACAAGCTAGGAGTTGTTGTGTTTGGAAAGCACTCTAAGGATACTGATTTTTCTCCTCAAGATGGTATAACTCACCTCCTGGCTCTACCTGCTCATGCAAAATTCAGACCAGCTATCCAGAAATCCTTCAGGAAAAATTACAGACCGGTTAATCAAAGACTGTTTGAGAAGTCCATCTTTGCTTCTCCAAAAAAGATCGAGCTTACTTCACCTGGATTTATTGAGCAACCAGAATTTAGCATATCCAATGCTTTCTTTCCTCTTGAAGTTGACCCGGGGGCTGAGCTGGATGAGTCGTCTCATGCTTCTTCTCAGGTCATTTTCTTCAAAACCAGCTTCAGAGCTTCCTATAGTCATCCTAGGTTGTGGCTCGTCTTCAACTACCCCTTCAGTGGGTTCTCTCCTTTCACAATGAGACACCCAATCTTAATCTTTATGTCGATAAACCTATTTTTAGAATGTCAAAGGTCTTAATGATATTAACAAAAATAATGTCTTCAGGCGCTGGCTTGTATATAATCGAATTTCTTTTGGTGCTATTCTGGAAACTCACATTAAAGAATCAAGTCTGAACCAGGTGATGAATGAAGTTTGCCCTCATTGGTCCTTCGCCTCCAATCATGCTGATGATGTTGATGGGCGTATTATTTTGATATGGAAAGCCCCTTCAACGGCTATTATTATCCACTCTTCTCGGCAATCAATGACCAGCAAAGTTGTTACTCCTGGATCAGATTCTTTTTATTTCACTGCAATTTATGCTGCCAATACTTCAGAGAAAAGAAATGACTTGTGGATTGAATTGTTGTATATTCAATCCTCTTTGATTATGGATGGCTTGTCATGGATGTTTGGTGGAGACTTCAACAAAACATTCCATCCCAGTGAGCACTCTTCCTCTAATGTCAATTGTTTCACTACTTCCATGATTGACTTCAAATCTTGCATTGACCAACTTGAAATGAGAGATCTGCGCTATCATGGAGCCAAGTTCACCTGGACTAACAAGCAGCCTGATGGTCCGATTGCTAAGAAGTTGGATAGAGCTCTCATCAACGAGTATTGGCCTACCAGCTTTCCTCGCAGCTTGCCCTAGATATATCTGATCATACTCCTTTCTGCATCTCGCTGGACAACCATATACCTCTCGCTGGTACCGGCCTTTCAAGTTTAACAACTACTTCACCTCCCATTCGGAGTTTTTATCTACGGTTTCCACTGCTTGGTCTTGTACTCCAGTTTCAAGTTATTGCATATCAAATTTAATGCTCAAACATAAGGAGTTAAGAAGAGCGCTAAAGACCCTATATGCTGATAACTTTTCTCAGATTCAAAAAAGGCTTGTAAAGGCCACCTATTTCTTCGAGAACGCCCAGCTACTCTCGCTCCAGCAGCCTTCTCCTGCTAACTTTCTCTCTGAAAGGCAGGCCTAAAAAAAGCTACTGTTCCTGCAAAAAATAGGAGAGGAGTTTTTCAAGCAAAGATCGACGTTAATTGGTTAAATTGTAGTGATCTCAACACACCTTTCTATCACAAAGTTTTTATTGTTCGTAATGCTTTCAACACAATTCACACCTTAGTTGGGATGAATGGAACTGTCGCTAGCTCAGCAGAGACCATTGGAAACCTAGCAGTGAACCACTTCAAAAACATCTTGGGGCCCTCCAATAACCACCAAACCCATAACTATCTGAATAATCTGATCTCCCTTACAAGAAAGACATGTTCTGCCTTTAAAGGAATTGCGCTCTCTCGTATCCCATATGTGGAGGAAATTATAAAAACATTATTCAAGATTAACCCAAGCAAGAGTCCAGGGCCCAATGGACTCCCTTCTGGATTCTATAAATCTGCTTGGACAGTCTTAGGAGAAGAAGTGATTAACGCGACCAATCTGTTTTTCAAATACTGCAACATGCCTTTATCGACCAACTCAATCATCCTTACCTTGATTCCAAAGTTCCCTGGAGCTTCAGTGATCAAGGATTACCGTCCAATCGCCTGCTGTAATACTCTGTACAAGCTTATTTCAAAGCTATTGGTGGCTACGCTGAAATCGCTGCTACCAAATTTGATTCTCCCTAATCAAACTGCGTTCATTAAAGGAAGATTGCTGTTAGAGAATTTTTTGCTTGCTTCAGAACTAGTCAATGGGTATCACAAGAACAAAGGACCAAAGAGAATGACGATCAAAATCGATATTGCAAAAGCTTTTGATTCTATCAAATGGGATTTCTTGATTCAGTGTCTCTATGCCCTTCAACTTCCACATGTTTATATCAATTGGATTAGAGAATGTGTTACTTCTACTTCATACTCCGTGTGTATAAATGGCAGGCTTCATGGTTATTTCAGAGGTACAAGAGGTCTAAGGCAAGGGGATCCTCTGTCCCCTTACCTATTTGGGCTGGTCATGAATGTTTGATCGCAAGCCTTAAATGATGCTGCAGAAGAAGGAAAATTTTCCTATCACCCCATATGTCAAGATTCAGGTCTTACTCACCTTGTTTTGCGGAGGACTTGCTGATATTTTCCGATGGATCCTCATAAATACTTCAGGGAATTCTCTCAGCCCTTCAGGAGTTTCAGCAACTTTCGGGTCTGGCCATAAGTCCTGAAAAATCCTGTTTTTTTTCGTGATGTCTTTCAGATGCAAAAGTTTTGGCTACTGCTTCTTCCTCTGGTATTCCTCATGGATCCCTTCCTATTCACTACTTAGGTCTTCCTTTATGCTCCAAGAAAATTTATATGCTTGAATGTGAGCCTCTCCTGCAATCGATCAAGAATATAATTAATTCTTGGACTTCAAAATACCTCTCCTTTGCGGGCGGGTAGATTCTCATTAATATCGTCATAGCAGGAATAACAAACTTTTGGTGCAGTGCTTTTGTTTTGCCAAAGGAATGTATAAACAAAATTGATTCAATGTGTGTTGCGTACCTTTGGAAGGGATCTCTTGAAGGTCGCTACACAGAGAAGGTCTCTTGGGAAACTGTCACCTCCTCCAAGGAGGAAGGAGGGCTTGGTGTGAGAAACCTGCAAATGTGGAACACAACTTGCTATATCAAACTGTTGTGGAGACTGCTATTCAAAACAGAGTCAATATGGGTTGCTTAGATCCACCAAAATGTTATCAAAGACAAAGGGATATGGTTATAAAGGAGAAGTAGTGACACACTTGGATTTTTAAATAACTACTACGTCTTCGAGAGAGGGTAATTGATTGAGTACGAATTATACCGGGAAATGGTTTTAATTGCCGATTCTGGTATGATCCTTGGTCTCCATTCGGGCCCCTTATCAAGTTTATTGGGATTCAAGGACCAAGGCAGACAGGACTCAACATCAATGATTCTCTCGCTTCACTCTAGCAAAGAGGGGGTTGGCGAAATTCCTCACGCTCGCTCCTCTCGTCTAGAGGAGGTTCTCTGCCACATGACCACAATATCTCTCTCAAACAGTGAAGACAAGTTCCAATGGATTATTGATGGCTCGGTGAAGTAAATCTTCTCTTCTTCGACAATCCACAACTTCATTATCCCTCACAAGCCTCAGGTGAATTGGTACAGCCTCATCTGGTTACAGAAGGGTATCTCAAAGCATAAATCAGTGGTGTGGCTTTTTCTATTAAATTGTTGCCCAACTCGAGATCGTCTACTCTTCTGGGGACTTCAAGCGGACTATATTTGCCTACTATGTAACAACATTCCGGAGTCTCATGATCACTTATTTTTCTCTTGTTCCTTTTCCTCGGTAATTTGGGACGCTCTCGCTTTGAAACTTACTATTACCCATCTCTCTAACTCGTGGTGATATACTTGACGCTATGATCATTATATCTGGGAATCGACACCGAATTTTCATCTCTCATTTGCCTTGGCAGTGTGCAATTTATGAAATTTGGACGGAGAGAAACCACCGACTCCACCGCAACACTCATAGATCTCCAGATTCTATATTGACGCAGATTTACTCAACCATCAAAAACAGAATTTCTTCTCTTCGATCTCAAAACTCGAGTGCAGTGAGTGATTACATGCAATTCTGGTTTTCTCTGCAATAAGAAATTTGACAGCCACATATTTGATCTCTCTCGGTCGGGTGCAAATCAAATCGCGATTATCTGGTAAAGTTTCTCAAAAATTCGTTCGAATCAGACTTTTGGGCCAACCCTTCTCTTTCTATCATCTACATTTGGTGTGGACTCATATTGGACTCATGCTAATTTTCTATTTGGTTTTTTTGTTGTTTTTTGTGAATTTTCTAAAGTTGCTCTTATAAGCATTTTTGCCTCAGTTAAATTAATGCAATTAAAAGTTCAAAAAAACAAAATAATAATAATAAATACTACACCACAATAAAGTTACTATCAAACAGTATAAATCCGCCATCATACCACACCAATCACCATTTTTTTAACACTGATTTATTAATCTATTGCAAATTATGAGAACTGTTACATCGACGATTCTACAACGGTCAATTCTACCGTCTTATGAAGATCCACGACTAACGACTCTACCTGCACTATGCACCACGCTTACCATCATCATATGAATGATCTACGCCTGACGATTCTGCTTGCACCACGCTGAAGATCTCTTGTAAGCTTGCCTCCATTAATTTGCATCATTCTTTATTAATCTGCATAATTAAGAATAAATCACGCTTGCTGGGATTTGAAACTCAGACCTCCTGGTGTAGAAGTATTAATAAACCCTTATTAAACCATTGGGCTAAAGGGGCTTCCACAACCAATCACCATTTATCATTGATAAATCTACGAATTCATAATAAATCTAGCATGTAAAGCAAAATAAAATCTACAAATCCCATAATAAATCTACTAAAAAGTTACCATTTCTCGTTTAAATTTACCAAATAATTATAAATCTGCCATTACTAGAATTAACTCTACCAATATAATAAAAAATCTACCATCACTTAGACCATCTCCAATGTATTTCTTCAGTTTCTACTCCAAAATAGAATAACTCCAAAATGATGTTGTGTTTTGCTCCAATGTATTTCTCTATTTTCTACTCTAAAAATGAATATTCTAAATAGATTCTTATTCGATTTTATTATAAATACATTTTAGTTTTAAAATTTACAAATAAATCCCACTTATTTTATTATTTACAATTTCTTTCAAAAACTATAACTTAAATATTTATCAAATAATGAAAATTACATAACATCACAAAACATACGCAATTTTTATGTAAACATTACTATTATTAAAAAAATTATTATTAATGTCTTTTGTATTTGTTGTTTTAAATTTATTTATATTATTTATCTTAATTTTAGCACTTACTATGTATTTTAAAGTTTATTATATTTTGTAATTTTTTAGGAATAATTGCCATGTTTAAACATTCATAATTATCAGTTTTATAATATTTTTTATACATATTGAATAGTATAAAATAATTATTTAAATTTAAAGGATTAATTTACAAATATTAAAGTCTAACTCCAAAATGGAGTAGAGTTTAGATTTACTCCAAATATGGAGTAGAATTTAGGTTTACTCTATTTTGGAGTTGAAAATAGAGTAAGGTTAAAAAGAATTTTACTCCAAAATAGCATTTAGAGTTGAAAATAGAGTAGGGTTAGAGATGCTCTTAACATCTTTACCTCTCTGCACAAATATGTTTATCTATTTAAGTCTATCAGTCGTCTACTAAATCTACGAATACAAAAAAACTCTACCAAGTGTACATAAGTCTACCGTTATCAGAGCGGTAGACATATCTTTTGGTAGACTTGTTTTGACTATGTCACTGATAATAGTAATTGCAGTTTTGCATTTACGTTTTTGTCCAGAATGACGATAAGGATAAAATCAAATTAAAAAGGATCGGAAATCCATTTGGGTAAATAAGATTGTTGGAGTCTATTTAAGTAATAATGACTTTCCAAAGGTGAAAGGTCCATTATAGTAATGTACCCGAAAAATATTATAAAGACTTTATACCAACATATCTATACAATAAAAGATGGCCAACTCTCTCCATTTGAGTGTCACTTCATCATTTTTGGTTTATTGTAGAAATGACATGTGTCATTTTTTAAATTTAATGATACAAATTATGTAAAATACAGTTAATGCATAAATTTAATGTATTATTAATTATAATACTAAAAGAATATGAAAAATATAAAGAATTAGAGAATATATTTTAATAACAATATATACATGATATCCAAAATTAATTATTGAATATCTATTTTGTGGTAGTTTTTAAAAATCATTAACAAAATTTATGTTTTATATATTTAAGAGTTTTTTCTTATTTTTAATTAATATTATAAGATATTATTATAAATATAATTATACAAATATAAAAATAACAATTATTTGATATTTTGAACCTTAAAAAGTTAGAAGAAAAATTTATACAATATTATAATAAACTTTAAAAAA